CAGCGCCCTCTAGAGTTCGGTCTTCCTCCGATCAGGAACGCGAGAGCTATTCCATGTTGAGGAAAAAATTAAGTCGTGATTTAAGACGAGTTAGTATATGTTTGCTTTCATACGTCAATCTCCCCCTTTGGACCTTGGTCAAGGGCTACATATTTGTGACTGTGTCCTTGCATATTCATTTATTCATTCCCCCCTCCGTCTCCTTTCGTGCTTTTGCAGCACATCTGGCTCAAAGGTTAGGAAAGTTCCTTTTGTGGTACATGCAGGATGGGGGATTCTGGGGCTTGCTCTTTGCAAGGCCAAGAAAAAAAATTAATGGGCTTCTTATAATATCTTTTTCGTGGCAAGGGCAAGAAAAAATGTCCAGAGACATTTTAATTGGAATCCTATTGGCACTTGCATAAGATTTGAGTAATTTGCTTTGGCTACCTGCAGCTGATTGATGAAGTGCTGGGGTACATCCTGGTTGCACAAATCAGGCACATGACCAGGCATGTGATCCAAACACTCCTTTTTGTTGTTGTTTAGTTGTTAAATCGTGTCTGACTCTTTGTGACCCCATGGACCAGAGCATGCCAGGCCCTCCTGTCTTCCACTGCCTCCCAGAGTTGGGTCAAATTCATACTGGTTGCTTCAATGACACTGTCCCGCCATCTCGTCCTCTGTCGTCTCCTTCTCTTGCCTTCACACTTAACCAGCATCAGGATCTTTTCCAGGGAGTCTTCTCATGAGATGGCAAAGTATTGGAGACATTCCTTGGCACCTTTCAATTAGCCAGGGCAAGTTACTCAAACCTTACACAAACACAAGTATGCAAGCACCAATAATAGTTAAATTTATTGCCAGGAATCTATAACCTAAGGCCACATAAGGCCAATGATGGCATCAGCAATGGAGAATGTGACAGGAGCAGCTCTGTTCAAAGGCTGGCATCCAAGTCTGGCATGCATGCAGGAAGTTGCAGATTTAGTCCCCTGACAGCCAAGCTTTAAAAGGTGCTGGAAAAAGTTTACAGGAACAAATATCCCACTAAAAACAGTACACAAAAGCAAAACCAAAAACGCATTCAGAGCCATAAGGCAGAACAGTTCTATGAGATCAGAGGCGAGGGGGTTGAAGCCCTCGCTGGAGTGTCATGCTCCTCTAAGAGAGAAAAAGAGGTGCAAACAGATCCACCAGCCCCCCTCATCGTGACAGTCCAGCAGGGAGTAGACACCCGAGATCTGGAACAGGGGATGAGAAAAATGTCTATATCCACTCAAACGGGGACTGAGAAGGCGGGAACAGAGGAGAGAGGTTGGTAGAGGGGATATAAAAGGGAGTAGAGACGACATACCGGGGAGTTGGGAGTTGATATGGGTGGAAAATCCCTGGACAGGGAAATGTGCCTTGGGAAGAGGCTGACTACAGGCAGAGGAGAGGCTTGCCTCCTTGCCCTTCATATTGGGGAGAATCAGAAGCCAGAGAGTGGTGTAGGAAGTTGAGAGAGGAGAAGGAGGTGGTAGAGAGAGAAGAATGAGAAAGAAGGGCATGGCGTCTGGAGGACGCATGCCGGAGGAGGTATTCACCAGACCCTGGATACCTCTCTCAGAGGGAGACGACCCCTTCGACCTGGAAGGGAGAGATGAGGAGACCCTTCCCTTGATAGGCAATGGAGTGGACTCTCCTAACTTTGAGGACACTGATCATTTTGTAAAAGGATCTTGGTATGAGTCAGGTTACAACCCGTTTTTGCAAGATATTTGGATGCCCTTCGCGAATATATTTGAATGCCCTCGGTCGACCTGTTGGCAACGAGAGAGAGAGAGAGAGTTAATAAGGACTATAAAGTTACAGATTCAGTGTTTGATGTTCCAATAAACCCCAGTTGTGAATTTCCAAAAACTGAGTGTCCTGTTTTTGTGTCCGACCAAAAGGAGGTGTCCTTTGAACCCTCATAAGTCCATTCGAAATCTCAAACCAGGCAGCCAGTCATTAAGGGAAAGCTTGCCTAATGAGGAAGATCTTCGCCTGCTTGTGGAAGGACAGCAAAGATGGCTTCCAGTGGGAGGGAGTTTGAAAGATTGAGAACAACTTTGAAACACAGCTGCATCTTTGATGGTGCAGGGATGGTGTTAAAATACTGGCATGTGTTTTTTTAGTGGGCTCCTTATATCATTTTTATGGCAAGGGCAGGAAAAAATGTCCAAAAAGAGGCAAACAAACAAACAAAAAAAGACCTCCAAAAGGGCCAAAGGGTCAAAGGCTGCATTGTGTGATTGTCCCCATCCTTATTCATTTATTACTTTCA